TTTTAAACGTAATAAAATAACATTTATTTATTATGTTTTATTTTTATTATTTCCCTTCTACGTGACTTTACCGAAAGAACCAAGAAAACAATACATTATTTATGCCAAACACAACAATAGTATTAAAAGCTGAAAACATCACTTGCATGAATAAGAATTACAACTACCAGCTCTTGTAATATGATTACATTAACTAAAAGCATTACGTCACAACACTGGATAGAACGATGACTATAATAATAATAATAAGCCCGTATCTGTGAATTTCCATACAGCGTTATTACTGCTTCAGCACACCAGTACGTTGGAGAGCAATCCACAACATTGAACAATTAGGTTCAACGTTTCTCTGGTAGTTATAAGCAGCATCATCAGGCAGTTGCCAGAATTGTGACAACTGCATAATGATGCTCTCCAAACAAGGAAAACAATAATTAATTTTAACCATGACAATGAAACAATTCATTGAACGAATCTTGGTGGGGTGCTTGGGTGACGGTATATATATATATTTACAGGCTTACTGCCTCGAGAAAACCGAGGGGATTATACCTTTTTTATTGTTTCTTGCATCTGCTATTTCATATCATGAGTCGGAGGATGCTGTCGTGGTTGTTATGGCGAGCTCATCTGACTTACAGGCCAGATGTCGCTGCTTCGATTCGAAATCTCAGCGTGGCAGTTGAAAGAATGGGCAGCTTTCTTTACATCCCCCACGCCTTTGTCCACCCAACAGTTGCAATTGGTATGCCACAGTCGACCGGCAGCTTGGGTGTGGTGGCGTGCATTTTGGGTACTCCTATCTCTTCCAACACATCTGACCAGCGTGGAAGAGTAGGCCAAATACTCTTTGTTTTTTTTCGGTAAAGTCACGTAGATAAAAAATTTTTTTAAATAAAAGAAAACAACTAAATCAAATCACGACGTTTCGGAGGCAACACAAGCTTCCGTCTTCAGGTGGAACAGTCACAGCAAGATAGCTGCATCTCAGTGGTGCCACTCAGTAATCGCGTGCTACTTGATGCAGCTATCTTGCTGTGACTGTTCCACCTGAAGACGGGAGCTTGTGTTGCCTCCGAAACGTCGTGATTTGATTTAGTTGTTTTCTTTCATTTTTATTTTATTATATCTACGTGACTTTACCGAAAAAACCAAAGAGTATGAATCCTTGCAGTCACGAAAGCTTCAAATCTAGAAGTAGGCCAAATACCCAATGGGAGGGGGCTCTATTTTGATTTAAAGCTTTCGTGACTGCAGTAATTCATATTCTTAGCTCTTTCGGTAAAGTCACGTTGAACAATATATATTTTATTATTTTATTGTTTTCCTTCAACGTGACTTTACCGAAAGAGCTAAGAATAGGAGGGGGCTCTTTTTAGTGAAGGCCATTCCGCAAGAAGTGGTGTGAGCACGTATTGTATGGCTGCACATTTGCCTTTTATGGTTACCTTAATTATCTGGATTTCAAACCCAGAATCTCAGTGGTGCCACTCAGTAATCGCGTGCTACAAGTCCCCTGAGCTAGCTGGCGACCTCGCATTGCATCCACCCCTATGGTGAGGATATCAAGGCGATGCCTCGACAGCTGGCGTGAATCTGACCACTGGCTGTGTAAATCACCCCGTAGAGTTCACGTTCTTCATCAAGGGCCAGCAGGTGTTCCGCATGTGGACAAGGCCTCGGCGCCTGGACAAGGTGATGAACCTCACCTCGTGGCTCGGTTGCGGTGACTGAAGCGAGCTCGCCCGTTGGCGGGGAAGGTGGCGTGGGGACAATGGCTTTATCAGTAACTCCTGTTACAAGACGCGTGAGAAATGCTGTGGTTGAAGGAACGAGGCTTGCTCAGAATGCATACGCAGGCTTACAACATTCACAACCACGTACACATATATACCACCCACCATCGTTAACAGAGCATGCATATGGAATTTTGACACGAACAACCACGTCATACTCTATGGAGCTCAAAACCCTTAGCCCAGCGTGCACATGAAGGGTTACACTAACACTAACAAACCATGGAACTCGCCAACCTTAATCCAGCATGCAAACGGTACAGGGTGGTATATAGCGACACTGACCTTATAAAGCAGCACGCCGCAGATTTCTTTGAAAGCTTAATTCAGCACGCACGTGGCGTTCATTACATCGACGATGACACAGGTTTTGTTAGAGGGCTGCGTGGCCCAGAACGCAGGCGCTTATTGTCGAGTAGCTACGACTGCACATCGAGGCTGTGACAGACTAAAAAGTTAGACGCTTCGTATGGCAAAAAATACTTTAAAGTTACTTTTAGGAGCTCTGGCCTAGCACTCGTGATATCACCACAGGGTGATTCGAAAGTAGGAGGGTGATGATGTTACCACGATGCCGGTATGCATGAGCACTCGATAACTCCCATCGAAAGCCAGTCACACTTGGTTGTGAACACCCACTCAATTGTGGTGCAGGCCTTCTTAAACAAATTGTCTCATATCCACTCATGAGATAACCTTTATTTACAAGAGCTCATTAAGGGGAAACAGTGGCGTAGTGGATCATGCACTATATTATGAACCTAGTGACTTTAGTTTCTATCCTGGTCAAAGGTAACATCAGTGACGAGGTATATCTAAACCCGTCGTGAAGTATGGTCAAACAGCCCCCATGGATTGACATGGCATTCATCCAGCAGTGGTATTTCACAGGGCTGTGAATTTTTTTCTAATTAAGAGATCATTCAGACCACGAAACTCCGTCACAAAGGATACTTGGCATTGTTTAAAGTACAGTTGCGTTTTTAAAGCAATGCCAAGTCCCATAGGCTGATTATGTTATTTCCTATCAGAAACACATTGCCTGCATGTTTTTTTATGCAACTGATGAAGTTAAAATCTGGGTGGTCTAGCAGCTGAAGGTTTTAGAGAGAGCTGTTTGGTGCGTTCGATTAGGAAAGTCGAATTAGTGATGATTTTGTTGGTTTTAGTAGCCAAGCTATTGGTAGGGTCTCTGTTAATTTTGGTATAGCAGCCATCATTGAGGTCTTGCATTTTCTTGTTTGTGGTTTTTATCCATGATGACAGTGGCATTGCCCTTGTCGGCTGAGAGGATGACAATATCATGTCTCTGTTATAATTGAGCGAGTTCAAAACGTTCGTCCTTGCTAATGTTGTTAATGGGTTTCTTAGCATTCTTGAGGATAGCAGCGATTTCAGATCTTGCAACGTCTGCCGGGATGTGTCCCAGACCTTTGAGGGCTACGTCGACCTGGGCAATGATGTCATCCACCGGGATGTGTTTGGGGGATACTGCGAAATTCAACCTCTTGTCTAGTACCGATTTTAGACTGTCAGACATTGGGCTGTTACTGTGATTGATAACAATCTCGTTACCATCTAACTTTTCCAAGTGTGGTTCGGGTTTATTTTTTGACAGGAGGTTGAATTTGGCAATCAGGTTGGCTCTGCTTTTGGTTGACATTGAAGCAGCAGAAGAAACAGTCATGTTATCCACATGGTCCCAATCAGATGTGGACATTTTATCTGTTAATTATAAATGTGATTGTAAGAGAGTCTTGTCTAAATTATCAAGTTAAAATCGGAGCAGCCTTATTCTTTCTGAGATTAGGGCTAGGCTGGCCTTAAACAAGAATCCGTTTAGCGTTAGGGGAAGCCAGCCTCCTACAGTCACGACTCGACAAAACTCCTTCCCCCCCCCCCTCCCGTGCCTATATAAAGCCACAACAGATAATTTTCTCACCTGAAGACGGACGCTTGTTGCGACCGAAACGTCGTGTTTCCTTTTATTATTTTTTCTATCTACGTGAACCAGAGAGTACTTATCATTTACTTTATTTATGTCTAGTGCCATTACTGTGTGTAGCGCTACGAACGTAATACATCGTTTGAGCAGAGAGTTCAGGATACTCTGTATGGCTTCAGACAATCACATAAACACGGAGGTGCTCAACTATTTTGTGCTTTGTGTCTAACCAATAAAATGTAAAAAAAAAATGCATCCTTAATTGTACTGGCATTCAGTGTCGTTTATTTAATAAATGGTGTGACATGCATGTAAGAGAAAAGTGCAATTTGCAGAGCAAACACACGGTGCACATTCAAAACTGTACCGTACAGATTAATTGCATTTCGATTTAAAGCTTTCGTGACTGCAAGGATTCATCTTCTTTGGTTCTTTCGGTAAAGTCACGTAGAATGAGAATAAAATAATAAATTGATAAAATAAAATAACACAATAATATTCTCACGACGTTTCGGCCACAACACAAGCGGCCTTCATCAGGTGAAGGGACGAGACTGTCTGGAGGACAGCGCTGTCCTACCAGACAGTCTCGTCCCTTGGAGGACAGCGCTGTCCTACCAGACAGTCTCGTCCCCTTCACCTGATGAAGGCCGCTTGTGTTGTGGCCGAAACGTCGTGAGAATTTTATTGTGTCATTTTATTTTATCAATTTATTATTTTATTCTCATTCTACGTGACTTTACCGAAAGAACGAAAGAAGATGAATTGAACTTTGGGTCGTTGCGCTCAGAGCGCAGTGCGTGAACCACTGCCTGAACAGTGCTCGTCTTTCAAATTGCAACAAGTCCTCATCGCTCAGGTCGGCCACTCTCTCATGCTCACCACGACTGATTGTCGAATGATCCACCAACGCAACCTAGAAGTCCAGAATTTTGTCGTACTGCGTCAATGCCGCTGGAATTGGATGCACCCAGAAGGCCGTTGGGTGGACGGGCTGTGTTTACATTTTTTTTTCTATTTCATGTGGAGGGAGATATGTGTGTTGAACTTATTTTGCACCGTGCGTAGCTAACCGTGCTAATGTGAGGTGTGGAAATGAAGGAGACATATTTGTATGCTTTTCTATTTTGCTATAGGTCACCAGATCACAACGGTGCATCAGTAAACACTTTAAGGTCTTATTAATATACTCTATTCAGTGCGGGTGTAACATTCCCCCCCCCAGGAATTTGATGAATTGTCACGACTCTGTATCACAATCCGATTCACAGTAATTTTATTATTATTATGACAGTAATGCCGCTAACATCACAAACATTTTACGAAATAAAAAAAAAATCTGTTAATTCATGTGTATTTAATATGAAAATAGATGGCTGATATTAGAAGCTGCCGAACATGTACTTTAGCAAAGGCAGGTGCCACTCATTAAACACTATTAAGGCATGTGGGTCTGCTGCCTCAAGTCAATAAAAACAATCACAGGACACTTTGAACGCTATGCATCACCAACCATACTCTTTGGTTCTTTCGGTAAAGTCACGTAGGTATAAAATACGTCACTTTACCGAAAGAACCAAAGAGTATGGATTCCTGCAGTCACAAAAGCTTCAAATCGAGATTTAATCACCAACCAGCTTATGGGCGAGTTCTTGCAAATATTTGTGTGCTTGTGCATATATCTGTCCATCCATGCTTTATCAGATGTTCTTGTGTGTTTTGTGTGTGTTGGTAATTGTGTGTGTGCATAATCGTGGGGAGTGGGAGTGTAGCGGTTAGTGTACTGCTCTAAGAACCCGACGACCACGAGTTCGATTCCTGCTCACGGCTAACACCAGTGACGATGATCTGAACCGATCCTGGACCTCCCCCTCGTCTGCCTTGCTGGTCTTCATAGGCGCTCACTAGTAGAACTTGCCCCAAAAAGTATGTTAAGGGTATATGGAGAATCTTTGTCTTTGTGCTTGTTGGTAATTGTGTGCAATATGTTCGTAATTGTGCATATGCGTGTATTGCACATGTTGCGTGCGTGCAATGTGCTACAACTAGGCCATGCCATATTTGGCAAATTTGGACCCTGAATCCACCAAGTTGTTTTCCATTTGCAGAACTTGAGCTGTGCCACCAACGTCGTACGTAATGAACGCGTCGAGTCGCATGTAAGTAACACAGCAGCAAGTGTACGTGTTAGTAATTGCATGTGTGTGTCTGCGTATTTGTAATTGTGTACACATGTTTTCTGTGTGCTCCACTAGTTGCTCTTGTGCTTAGCCAATCGCCCAGGCTGCGGGCGTGGTGTAAATGCCGTGTGGAAAAATGCGAGCCCCATGGCACACACCATCCCCACGGCGTGAATGTACTCGTACTTGTTAGCGTATGGCTTCCCACACACAGCGTACCTGCATACATTACACAAAAGACAAAGGTCACCCATGTAGCTCTTAACACACTGTTGAGGCAAGGGCTTGTAAGAGAGCACCTATTAAACCGGTAGAGCGTATACGAAGGGATGGTGTCGGCCAGCACCACACCCGGCCACCTTTGTCTCCCCGGTGTTGTTGTTTACACAACACACCAGGGTACTAATTTAAGGCTGAGTCGATCTAGAGGAGGCCCAAGACCGATTCAGATATTTACCACTGATGTTGGTCGTAAGCGGGAAAATAGCTCGGTTCACCGGGTTCATAGAGCAGTGTGCCAACTACTGCACTATCGCTCAAGATGCGTGACACACACACGGATCATACCTGCTAGCAGTGCTCTTCATAATTACACAATGCGCTAAACAAATAATGAGTACATGCACATGTATACCCTTTTTGTCGATCCACTGCAGGATGGGTGTCTCTCCACACCACACGAGTCACGAATGCCATGCGTAATTAATATATCGCTCGTGAGTAAATTGCCCAAGTATCATAATTATCTGAAGCGCTGCTCGAGACGTAGTTGTTTCCAGTTCACATTTCTCCACAGCTCTTCACCATCCAGCGCAGCTTTACTTTCCCCTTCACGCAGTAACATGGACAACCTCTGGAAAAGCATCTTACAAGGCTGGCATGGCACAAAAGAGAAGTTGATGGTCTACCGGGTTCTACGAAACATCTTTTACCGCTTTTCCAATGTACAAACGAGCCACACCGGGGCCATGCGGAGCCAGCCCGGTGTAGCTCAGGAGGCGACACATTGTGTTTAGGGTGCCACGGTGGCGAAATGTGAACTACCTTGCCTAGTATACAGGTCATACATTTATATTTACGCAATCTCACCCAAAAACCTCTATTATGGATATTGGTCACGAAAACCTTCGTATTAAACTGACCACCATGTGGAGGATACTTTTCTTCAAACAAGGAAATTGGAGAAACTCCGAATCAAGCGGATAAAGCTGATGTCTTCGCTGGCGTTTCTCACGCAAGTGACGACATCACATTTATCTCTCTGTTTAAGACCGAAACAGGAGGATTCCTCCATAACTCTGGATGTCGCCTGAAGGTGCTGGTTGTAAATACTGGCGAAATGTCATACTCGAATTGTAGATGTTGTGGATTTACTCTCCAACACACCGGTGTGCTGAAGTAGTAACGATTGGCATGTTTTGTTTACGTGACAAACCTTACTAATTGGCTGTGTCTTGTGGTGGTGTGTTGAATGACACTGATGTTTACGCGATCTAACCCAAAAACCACTATTATGGATAATACAGGTCGTGGGTTTGATTCTGACCCTGATGCCTGTATATTTGAAGTTTGCATGTTCTCCCTGTGGTCGCGTGGATTTTTCTCCGGGTCCTCTGGTTTTTCCCTCCGTATTTAGAAACGTGCGTTTCGAGCACTTAACTGCTATACATTTCCACATGACAAGCCACTTCGTTGAGCTATCATTTGTGACCAGGTCGTTTCTGAAAAAGAGCTATATAGCTCAGTGGGCCTTACCTGCTAAAATAAAAAAAATCGTTTATACTTTAGTTTTAAAACAAAAATAGTTTTATTTTATTTTATTATTTTTCCACTGCAGGACCCGAGCTGTGTTAATGACATCGCCCACAATGAATGAGTCGTGACGCATGTAAACAATGTGGTGGCAGGTGCAAATGTACTGACACAATGTATCACAAAATGTATAAAGTCTGCCGCTGGCCCCGAGTCAGATTTAAAAAAAAAAATTCACCTGAAGACGATTGCTTGTGTTGCGATCGAAACGTCGTGATTTAGATTTTTGTAATTTTTTTCTATCTACGTGGCTTTACCGAAAAACCCAAACAATATGAATAGTAAATCACAGTTTGGTTCTGCCTTGGCTCAAATGTGCCCCAGGAAAATGGGTTATTAGAGTTCCCTTTGCTGATATCCACCAGAGCAAGTACTTACTTTCGGGTCAGTTGACTTACAAGAGGCCCACACCGAGTTTAAACCTTGTAGTCATCTGTAAACATGAGCATCAGGGAGACAAAGGTGGCTAGGCGTGGTCCTGGCCACACTACTGGCTTGTGTGCTGTGATGGTCTCACCATAAACAATCTAGAAGAATAAAGAGGGCATCACTATATTTGTGATTACACTTACCAGTGAGTAATTCCATTGCCGTCAGGGAGAGCTGTCACACTCTGCTGGGTCAGATTATGTGACTTGAGCAGCCAGTTACAATCCATACTGTAAATACATCGATGTGAATTAGATAAACAAATAACAGACAGCCACTACATTGCAGAGATACACTTAGTAGGGGTGTAACAATGCACTCATTCACTGATTAATATTATTACACTCATAATGTGCATTGAATTGTGTGTGTGTTAGAATCCTTATTACATCCGCAGTAATAATCAGGGCAGCCACTGAATTGGAACCATGCATATATGAAACAAACGATGAATGTGCTACCTGCTAGGCCATGTCACACTTAAGAGACACCAACAGCAATTCATACACAAATCATAGCATTTTTGAATCTGCGGTTTCCTCCCTGCTGCTTCTCATGGAATTTTTAAATACACAGCAGCACACAAACAGTAGTAGGCTCAGTACTGAATCAGTAGGCAGTAGATGTGCTGATTTAATAGAATTATTGTTATAGTAGAACTCCTCTCATCCGTGATGAATAGGGGGGGGTGGGGAGGTCGACAAACTTCATGGATGCAATCTGTAATCCAAGCAATAACCACCGGTAGAAACCTTTAGCGAGTAGGAAACCCCACAAACTTCCACCGCGTGGCTGCGTCGTCTGCACCTGAAGTAGTCCTCGTCGTAGTCACTGGTGCACAGGTAGGCACGCTTGCTGAGCGCCTGTCCCAGCGGCGACATGACCACGACGTCCGGCGCAGTGCATGGGCCCAGCGGCTCGTGCAGCCCGATTGACAGCTGCGTTTGAGGAGTCGCGAAGTATGCCTACAACACAAATATCCCATGTGAGGCCTTTAGCATATACCCGTTTACGCAACCTGCACATTAATATATAGAATATTAATTGGTTAAAACTATTACCAGGCCGGCCCATTGAACTATATGGCCCTTTTTCAGAAGCAACCTGGCCCCAAATGATAGCTCAATGAAGTGGCTTATCATGTGGAAATGTATAGCAGCCAAAATACTCTAAACGCATGTTTCTAAATGTGGAGGGAAAAACCGGAGAAAAATTTACGCAACCACGATGAGAACATAGAAAAGATGATTAAATATTAACCATCCCACATTTGCTGTTGGCATAATCGTTATACACGTTCAATGGGAATGAACTGCAGGCAATGTTTGAAGAAGTTCCTAAAGGATGCAAAGTTGGACTCAAGATGAATAATATAAAATAAAAAATGTACGTGCAACAAATCACATATGTCTTTTGGAGGAGCACAGAAGGAAAACACAGCAGAATGTTTATACCTCGGCAGTTATTGAAAGTGGACTGAAATCTAAATTATGAAATAGGCTGATGGGAGCAGGTTAGGGCGCTTTTGGAAAGTTGAACTTGATAAATCTGAAGCAACGTGCCATTCTACTTCTAGCTACTATGCAATGTTGGCACTAATAAAGAATATGGAACAAAAACGAAAAAACATGCAAATAAGTGTGGAGAAAAGCATTCTTGGAAGTCAAAAAGAGGAACATGGATTAGAGAATGCACACAGGTTAAAGGCATACTTTGGCTGTCAATAAAAATCAAGTGGCAGGACAGGTAAAGGTACGATAAAGTGATGATGACCGGTGGGTGAGAATAACTATGGCGTGACTGGCAAAGGAAAGAACACGCCTGAAGGGAACGTCTGCTGCAGACATGCAAAGATTAAATCAGCTCTTGTGCAGGTGCAATGTTACACCGCAGGACCGTTAGAGGCGGCAACGGCTTTTGGAGGCCTTCACACAGCAGTGGATTCGTTGTGGTTGCAGTTGCAGGTGGAATTTTGCATGTGAGCTCACGGATCGCACCAGCAAGGTGTAAAAAATGAAGTGCAATAGCATGGCCCATGCAGTCTCGTGCGACAGCCAGCCCAGCAGCCAGTTCCCACCATTGCCTCTCTCGGCTCTGCTCCCTGCCCCCCTGTCTGCGTGACGTTCACCAATCCACACCATGAACACGTAGATGGCTGCAGGCAGACACACACGCGCACACACACGGGGTCGGTGAGTGACCCACACAATCAGCGCGAAGAAGGCTACACACAGGGACAAGTAAGTGACCCGCACCATCAGCGCAACTCTGATTAGCATCGTTGGCTACATACGGTGCGAAATAATTTCAACGTACATATCAGAATCTTTAGACTGGAGGAATCCGATGAGCTATGAAGGTCGTTTTCACATATATCCAGTAGGGGTGGGTCAGCAAGTTACAACAATAAGCCATAAAAATATCGGAGTGAAAAATAGAGAAAAGGAATACAAGTCATGAAAATAAATGATAGCATAGATTTGCAACACACCCCCATAGAATGAGTGACCATTACCATCAGAAAGTAGATCGTTACACATAGGGGATTAGTGGTGGGTGACACACCATAAGCACATAAATCACTACACTCACACACACAGGGTTAGTGAGTGACCCACAACATCAGCGTGTAAAAGGCTATGCACACGGTCAGCGAGTGACCCTTACCATCAGCATGGAGACAGCTGCACACAGACACACATAGGGGCAGCGACACCTAGTGCACATGATTGAAGTGAATCGCAAAATGGCATAATTAAAGTGGGTGGTATGCATACGAATGTAAAATAAACCTTTTTTTTGCTTTATCTACTGTTAGCGAGCACCAATTAAGACTGGTACACGAAATGAGAAAACTCTATCTAGATTTGAAGTTTTCGTGACTGCAGGAATCCATACTCTTTGGTTCTTTCGGTAAAGTCACGTGGGTAGAAAATAAATCACGACGTTTCGGGCGCACACACAAGCGTCCGTCATCAGGTGGGACAATCACAGCAATAAACAATTGCTGAAGTGGGCAAAAGAGCTGCTGTAACAAGAGGCTACATAAGTAAGAGAGGGGGGGAGGAGCCAGGGAGGAGAGATAGAGAGGGAGGGGGGTGTAGGAGGAGTGTAGTGCTGCTCACTAGAGGGAATGAGGAGCGAGGGAGCAAGAACAAAATGCCGGGGGGTGGGGGGGGGAGGAAAAAGTGAGCGGGGCTAGGAGTGGGAAGCTGAGGAAGCCGGAAATGCGGATATGAAGGCAACACCATAACGCAGTTAGGGTTTTACCTGGTTAATAACATTCTTCCAATGATTGCTCAATTTGTATCCATCTTCTCGGTTGAAGTTACGTCTATGTTTATATATCTGGATGGCTTCAAGAACAAACCTTTGATAGTAGCTCGAAGGTTTGCAGAGCACCTTGGTCGAGGAAAAAACTATATCATGAGAGCCCACAGCGTTATAGCAATGATCAGACACGGCAGAGGTATTAGTTCTGCCGTGTTTCAGATCTGACTTGTGCTCGCGAACACGGTCCGAGACATGCTGTTTCATTTCCCCAATGTAACAGCCACCACATGTCAACTTAGTTTGTAGACTCCAGGATATTGCATGTCAGGAATGACATCCTTCACAGATGGGACTAGATCACGGATTTTGTGTACTGTACTGAATCGGACCTGGATCTTGTGTTTGTTTAAGATTTTGGAAATATTTTTGGTAACGCCTGCTATGTATGGTAACATGATGGTTTTGATTGGCATCTCAGGGGGTTGTTTCTCCCTGGTTGGAGACACAGCTTTGCAAGATGAATGGGTACTCGGACCGCATTATTCGCATAACATCCTTCCAATGATTGCTCAATGTGTATCCATCGATGGAGCAATCATTGGAAGGATGTTATTAACCAGGCAAAACCTTAACTGCTTTATAGTTTGCCTTCATATCCGCATCTCCTGTTTTTTCAGCCTTCTACCCCCCAGGCCCGCTCACTGCCCAGCCCCGGCATTGTGTCGTACTCGCGGTGCAAGTTGCAGTGTTTTTTGCGGCACAAGTTGCAGAGCTCCACTCCCCCTACCCGACATTCCCACCCTCTCTATCTCTCCTCCCTGGCTCCTCCCCCGCTTTTTCACGTGATGTCACATTTCTCAAACTCCCCCCTCCCCCCCCCTCGTCACACATCGTCACAAATGTCTGACCGCCCTCCTCCCCTAGGTGTGTGACATCATTTATGGACGGCCCCGTACTTTTTTAAACACAATTATGTCGAGACCTTGTGGTCTCAGCCAACAGCCATCAGAGAAGTCTAAGCCTAGCCTAATGCACGGTAAACGAAAATTCGGTAGTGACTGCTTTCTGTTAACAATGAATATAAAATATTTTGTGATATTCATAAACAATTGGATACAGTATACGTTCGATTATTTTAATTATGGGTAGTGTTAGGGTAGATATTCGATGAAATGAAAGAATCATAGGAGGTGCAGAGTGTATGTACAGTGATATTGTGCAGGTAGCAATAGAAAACGAATGACAGCACGATACAATACTGAGAAAAAGCGAACCTAGTAGTCGCGTAGGGGAGGCACAACTGTTCCTGGCTATGGGATTTTATCTTGATTTTGGGGGGGAAATTATTCAGTTTCCGACATACGGGAAAATTCGGGTTGCCGACCGTTCTCGTTAAACTAACCCTTCCGTAACCCGGGGACTGCCTGTGTATATATATATATATATTTATTTGGGGGCCCCATCATCCCCTCTGCAAATCCGGCCGTGTTCACAAACCTATGAGAGTGGCGACCAGGTTCTCTGTGTGGATCTCAAGGCTGTCGTGCAGTACGTGGTAGAGCAACATGAACTGCGTGGCCACCGCCACGGGGAAGGACAGGAAACCAGGGATGAGCACCGTCAGCACCTCGGCGATAAAACGACGCCCAACCTTGTCTCTGGAGGAGCTACCCGTGAGCAGCCACCTAGGGGAATGAAGAGGTGAGGAGGTGGGGAGGGATCAGATCAGAAACAGTTTTCGCATAGGCAAATATGAACTGAATAAAAAATTGGCAAAATAACACTGAACTGCAAGGCAGAGTATGTGGTGATTGATGGAGGTACACAGAGCCAGAGTGTGTGGTGGGTGATGGGGGTATACGGAGCCAGAGAGTATGGTGGGTGATGGGGGTACACAGAGCCAGAGTGTATGCTGGGTGATGGGGGTACACAGCGCAAGAGAGTATGGTGGGTGATGGGGGTACACAGAGCCAGAGAGTATGGTGGGTTATGGGGGTACAAAGAGCAAGAGTGTATGCTGGGTGATGGGGGTACACAGAGCCAGAGAGTATGGTGGGTGATGGGGTACACAGAGCCAGTGTATGGTGGGTGATGGGGTACACAGAGCCAGTGTATGGTGGGTGATAGGGTACACAGAGCCAGAGTGTATGGTGGGTGATGGGGGTACACAGAGCCAGAGAGTATTGTGGGTGATGGGGGTACACAGAGCCAGAGAGTATGGTGGGTTATGGGGGTACAAAGAGCAAGAGTGTATTGTGGGTGATGGGGGTACACAAAGCCAAAGTGTATGCTGGGTGATGGGGGTACACAGAGCCAGAGTGTATTGTGGGTGATGGAGGTACACAAAGCCAAAGTGTATGCTGGGTGATGGGGTACACAGAGCCAGAGTGTATTGTGGGTGATGGGGGTACACAGAGCCAGAGTGTATTGTGGGTGATGGAGGTACACAAAGCCAAAGTGTATGCTGGGTGATGGGGTACACAGAGCCAGAGTGTATTGTGGGTGATGGGGGTACACAGAGCAAGAGTGTATTGTGGGTGATGGGAGTACACAAAGCCAAAGTGTATGCTGGGTGATGGGGGTACACAGAGCCAGAGAGTATGGCGGGTGATGGGGTACACAGAGCCAGTGTATGCTGGGTGATAGGGGTACACAGAGCCAGAGTGTATTGTGGGTGATGGGGGTACACAAAAACCAGATTGTATGGTGGGTGATGGGGGTACACAGAGCGAAAGATTATGATGGGTGATGGGAATACACAGCGCAAGAGAGTATGGTGCGTGATGAGAGTACACAGAGCTAGAGAGTATGCTGGGTGATGGGGGTACACAGCGCAAGAGAGTATGGTGATTGATGGAGGTACACAGAGCCAGAGTGTATGGTGGGTGATGGGGGTATACAGAGCCAGAGAGTATGGTGGGTGATGGGGGTACACAGAGCCAGAGTGTATTGTGGGTGATGGGGGTACACAGAGCCAGAGAGTATGGTGGGTGATGGGGGTACACAGAGCCAGAGAGTATGGTGGGTTATGGGGGTACAAAGAGCAAGAGTGTATGCTGGGTGATGGGGGTACACAGAGCCAGAGAGTATGGTGGGTGATGGGGTACACAGAGCCAGTGTATGGTGGGTGATGGGGTACACAGAGCCAGTGTATGGTGGGTGATAGGGTACACAGAGCCAGAGTGTATGGTGGGTGATGGGGGTACACAGAGCCAGAGAGTATTGTGGGTGATGGGGGTACACAGAGCCAGAGAGCATGGTGGGTTATGGGGGTACAAAGAGCAAGAGTGTATTGTGGGTGATGGGGGTACACAAAGCCAAAGTGTATGCTGGGTGATGGGGGTACACAGAGCCAGAGTGTATTGTGGGTGATGGAGGTACACAAAGCCAAAGTGTATGCTGGGTGATGGGGTACACAGAGCCAGAGTGTATTGTGGGTGATGGGGGTACACAGAGCCAGAGTGTATTGTGGGTGATGGAGGTACACAAAGCCAAAGTGTATGCTGGGTGATGGGGTACACAGAGCCAGAGTGTATTGTGGGTGATGGGGGTACACAGAGCAAGAGTGTATTGTGGGTGATGGGAGTACACAAAGCCAAAGTGTATGCTGGGTGATGGGGGTACACAGAGCCAAAGTGTATGCTGGGTGATAGGGGTACACAGAGCCAGAGTGTATTGTGGGTGATGGGGGTACACAAAAACCAGATTGTATGGTGGGTGATGGGGGTACACAGAGCGAAAGATTATGATGGGTGATGGGAATACACAGCGCAAGAGAGTATGGTGCGTGATGAGAGTACACAGAGCTAGAGAGTATGCTGGGTGATGGGGGTACACAGAGCCAGAGAGTATGGTGGGTGATGGGGGTACACAGAGCCAGTGTATGGTGGGTGATGGGGTACACAGAGCCAGAGTGCACTGCGGGCGATGGGGTTACACAGAGCAAGAGCACAGGCACAACATAATAATGTATCGACAATGATATGTGTAAATGTGTGTGTGTGTGCAATCATGTGGATGTGTGTAGACCTTGAGGCATTGGTGAGCATCGTGAAGTTGAAGGAGAATGTCATGTGGAAAATGTAGGATGTCCACGGAACCCAGTAATGACGGTCAAATATATTGGGGTCTGTATCATGCCATGTCCACCACAGCAGCTTGATGCCTGCATTGGAGAGAGTGAATCGACCAGACAAGTGAATCACTGAGATAAATCAACCCAGTGGCTCACCAATACAGTAACTCACCCGGGGCAGGTTAATCACTCGAGAGAATCACCCAGTGTCTCGTCCCACGAATGACCCAATCAACCAAGGAAAGTTGTGGATAGGCATAAAACATATCACTACCCCACAATGTGATGGCTTGTTATGATTCAGAGTAACAATTTCCGTGTATGATGTTCTGTCTCGCTTGTACGTCTGACCCGTACATTATTTTTTAGTCTGAATATAACATTTGCACACAGTTAGATTTTCACATACACTGTTTGATGCATTTATCGTGAGTATAATTCAAATCAGTGTTTAGTCGGGGGGGTATGAAGGGGATTGTGGTTAGAAGACAAGGATTGTTGGGAAGTAGATGATTTAGGGGAACACATTTTTTTGTATTCACGATGGGTTTGCATGACACCGGTAGTACGATTGGTATAAAAAAACTGACCCATGATATCGAGGGGTACGTCTATGAGCAAATTCCCCAGTGCCACGGCGAACGGCTGGGCCCACCACGGGAGACCCATGTGATTCACGGCTACATACGCATGGTAGATCATCATCGGGTAGATCACTATGATGTGTATTGGGAGTCTCTGTCCTGCAAACAAAGCAAAAAAACACGTAACACACGCAGAATTCCACTTTGAGTTCCAGTTAAACGCACACTGAAAAATGTAATACAAAGTACAGAAAGCGCAAACAAGTTATTATGTGATGTGGTTCAAAGGGCTAATAATGTGTCAGGGCACTGAGCTAGCACCACCTAAACCCATGGATGGAACTAAATTTACCTGAAATTAAACTGCATTCTCGAGCCTAGTAAGTTGTTTGGTCACCAATTGAGGATAATTGGCATTCTAATAGTCACGAATTCATTTTTCACTTTGTTTGGATTACCCCATGTCTAAATATGTAAGAAATGTTTGACTGCCATGCGGAATATATTCTATGTAACATATCAAAACGTGTGTCCTGAATGTGCGTAAAAAAACAATTTACGGGAATTCATGAATAGATTCCGACAATGTCCCAGGGTCTTTCTCTGACACAAGGTATATCAAAAGGACAACTAGCATATTATTGGAAGACAAATCCCACAATAATTGTAGTCTCTCATCATAGTGCCCAGGCTTATCTAAAAAAAACCTTCAAAGACTACAAAACAACCTAGCACGCATCATCATTGGTCACGCTCATCCCCATCTCGACTCACTTGCCTGTCTCCGTGCCCTCAACTGGCTACCCATCGCCAGTAGAGTCATATACAAGATCGGCTGCTTCTGCCACCGTGCCTTCACATCTGCCTGCCCGCCGTTCCTTTCTTCATTATTGACAACTTGCAGCTCAGCACACGGCAGATGCCTGCGCAGCGTGACTCACGACCTCCTCTTGATACCAAGATCCAGGATGGTCATGTCTATGCGCCGCTTCTCGGTGGCAGCCCCAACAGTCTGGAACGCAATCCCACTGCACAATCGCAGCATCACCTCAATCGCCTCCTTCAAGAGACACTTAAAAAACTCGCCTCTATAACCACGCTTTCCAGCGACTCTGAGCTTGGCTCCGCGCCTCTGAGTTGCGGCCTTTACGTCCGCAAACTTGCACGCGTTATAAATTGCATTATTATTATACAAGCTGAAATTAAGTCAACTCGGAATGCTAGGACGAGTGAGAAGATAAGAAAGACTACATCAGAATAAAGGTGTTACATATGGAATCACCAGGGAAAATGCCCAGAAATACGTTTGAGTCATGATCTAGGATATGCAGGACAGTGCAGTGCGTTTAGATATGGCTCAAGACAGAATTTAGTGGAGAAAGCTAACAGCAAGACCTCTCAAAAGTGGGGAAAATGTCTATGAACATGAATATCTGTCCTTATAAAAAATATACATTTAAACCTGTTCTTAGGATTATAGTTATAAGGGGAACAATCAATCAAACATTATTGAGTATAGCACCCTTCACAATAAAACAATGTTCACAGATCACTTAACACGTGGACACATAAAAAAGTATATAAAATGACACCAATAAAAATGTATATTACACAACGCAAAAAACAACTGATTATCGACCCACTCCACGAGCGAGTAAACAGGCCCCATAAACTGACCCGTCAAATAGTGGTGCCAAGCTGAGAGAGACAGATCCAACCCATAGGGATTTGTGACAGATTGAAGAGATTGAGTCTTCAGCAACCGTTTAAATGTGCACAGACTACCAGCTTCCCTCATGTCAATGGGGCGGTCGTTCCACCACCTGGGAGCCAGACAACGGAATGAGCGCCCTCCTAAGGCAACACATCTAAGCCGAGGAGCCACAAGAAGGCTCTGTGCACTGGAACTAAGACATCTGGTAGCTACATATCTCTCCAAACGATCAGAGAGATAAACAGGACCTTGCATATAAAAAAGCAGGATCTTAAATGTGATCCGCAAGTAGACCGGCAACCAGTGTAGTCTCTCAATGCAGGAGAAATGTGCTCCCACTGGTCATTATTTGTAAAAATAAATCTGGCGGCTGTATTCTGTATGAGCTTGGAGACTATTAATGTGCGTGGTAAGCCAGCATACAATGAGTTACAGTAATCAAGCCTAGACGTTATAAATACACTGACACAGAATGTCTGAAATGTGTTTCTTTAAAAATAATAAAATTATTATGGATAGGTGTACTCTAGTCGTAGTGACTTATGTCAATAATCCCTATTTCCAAGCCAGCTTAGCAGCATTCTGGAAAAATGTACTGCCAGTTCTCAACTTATGAACGGGTACTGTTCCTGACAGCCGTCCGTAAGTCGAATCTTTCGCAAGTCAGAAATCAAAAATGTACTGTATTGAAATGCCAATACGGTCAATGTGTTACAGTTCAATAAAAAATGGAAGCATTGTTAAACTCAAAAATAAGAATATTTTTTGTACATTTGCATGTTATGCTGTGATATTGCCTATTGAATAAACCAAAATAAAGTAACATGAAAAAAACACGTTTTATTTTCACTTACCTTGAGTTCCAATGCTGGCTGGCTTACTTATTAGAAGGGGTCTAAATGAGTCCCCACAATTGTACACGCACACACACGGGGCTATGTGCACGCATTCACACGACTACGATTCCCCGTATAGCCTTTACAGACTGTTGGGGCAAGTGCTATTAGCGAGCACTTGTGAAAACCGGCACGGCACACGAGGTGGGGGGGGGGCAGCACCACGTGCAGCCGCCTAGACTCGATGTTTAGTGGCAATGTTTACACACCGCATAATGTACTCATTTGAGGCTAAGTCGACCTAGGGGAGGATCAGGACCCATTCAGTGAATCGTTACTAGTTATTGGTCGTGAGCAAAAAAATTAACTCAGATTCCCGGGTTCGTAGCACAGCACGCCAAACATTGCACTACTGCTGCCCACACACGGGCATGCGCACAAACACACGCGCACGCATATGCGCAAAACAACAACCGCCATTCGCCACAAAGTGGCAGTGACGTCTCCAGTGTTTGTGCCAGGCAATGTGCGAATTGAGGCCACGTGAAGTGTCGAAGGCTCGCTGGCAGGAGGCTCCTTCGCCCTCTGCTGTTGTTGGAGGGCGACTGCCTCCAGCCTGCCAGGAGCCTTCATGAGCCTCCTCCACCGAGGCCGATCTTGACATCGCTCATACTAGTTATCGGCAGGGCCACTCAGCTCCATATCCTTCTGTGCCACATCAGTCAATCTCTTCTCTAGCCTGTGCTATGCCCGTTTACCCCCTCTATTCAGTACAAAAAAAGTGGTTTTGACATGCAGTGACTGGCATGCGGGCTACATGCCCCAGCCAACGCAGGCTTGCCTGCCGGAGGAGCTCGCCGATGGGACTGTGTCCAGATCACACTCACTTTCACAAACACAATTACTTTCATGCACATACACACATATGCATGCAAACTAAATAGTTCCATGGTTAGGATCGCAAGTGTGAGTTCGCTAGTCAGACGGTTAAAAAATAAATATCTTATGGAAGCTCGTTCGTAAGTGCCGATGTTCGTAAGTCGAGTGTTCGTAAGTCAAAGACTGCCTGAAATGAGAAATTATTCCGTGAGCAATCGGGTTATTAGACATCAGTGGAGTATCTTCATATGGATCACCTTGTATTACACCATACATACTGATAGTGTTAGAAGACAGAGGCGGTATTGCCATAAACATGCTGTTGGGCCAATGTTGGCCCAACGTTGGCATGTGGTTGGAACGGTTGGACCATCATTAGCCTACTGTTGGTCCAACGATGGGATGTGGATTGTGGAGGTTGATGCTGCTGGCTTCACATTGCGGACTGTACGAGATACCTAGGAGCATCGTGGAACTCTGCGCATGCCAGAAGTTGTCGATGTTTGGCAGAAAGTAGCTGACGGACTCGACGATGAGGCCATGCAGAATTGTACCCACCCACATGTACCGCCACCTTCACACGCACACAGAAGCACACCCTTCAGAATAACATATGGATTTGCTGCCATACTTGTTCCTCGTTTCTTCTGGAATGCAGTCGAGTTAAACTCTTCAATCCCACTAAGGTGTTCCGGCTTGTTCCAACCCATATTTGAAAAACAGTTGGCCATGTGCGTTGGCATCACGGTCCGATTGTTGCAAACCTGAACAATTACCCGCAAATTACTTAATTGGATAAGAACCACGTACCAACATCTTCATTCACAAAATAACATATTGCCTTCATGATAACCTCAATGGATAAACATTTTCAGGATTTAATCAACGCTTGCTTTGAAGGCACTTAAAGGCCCACCAGTTTCGCCTGGCTCCGGTCATCTACGTCTGTGAAAAATGGCGCATGTTACAAATGACATTATTCTCATCGATTATTCCGGAGTTGAGTGCGCAAACCTCACCGCCCGCCCTTGCGGATTGCATGCACAGCACTCGCTGCCGCCACCAAAAGGATGGTGACCTCACTGAGGAGGAATGTCGGGTGCAGGTCCCAGATTTCCCGCGGGTCCCGGAACGTCACCAACCAGCTGCTCGACGGCGACGGGGAAAGCGCCATCCTATAAAGCCCGTAACGTCTGACTCACACACAGGCACACACACCACAGTGCATGCAGTATTTCGCTCGTTATTCTCGAGGGATACGTTCTGGAGATTTGCGTGAAAAGTTAATTTTGTGGATAATGATATTGGCCTACGAAAGGCTTTTTAATGGATTATCTTAAATAAAAGCATAAATAATCTATTACATATATTAACATTATCATAATAACACATCTCTTCATCTCACAGATTTATCACTCGTCACTTAATCTCTAATCACTTAATCTCTCGTCATTTTTTCCTCGTCACTTTCTATCCTGCTCTCTCTCGATGCAGTCGAGTAGAGTTCCAGATGAGATTCGCGGACAGCCAAAATCGCGGGCAGCGAGTTCGTGAATAACGAGGGGATAACTGTACACTTAGCTCATGGACATCCTAATCAGCAGCAGCACTTATGACCAAGGCAATGATTTTGTCACGGGATTTTTTAGTAAAACTCAGAGCCAAGTTTTGGGGGAAAACAAACGAAGAATTAACTGAAAGGTCACAAATTAAGGTGGAGTGGTGCCCCAAATATTATGTTGGACCATGACGCTGGTATACAATTGCCTACTCGTTTTGAATGTCGGGGAATCTTTAACATCCACTCTGAAGCAGATGGCACATACAGCATTTAAGATCCTGGGTTTAAATACAGGCAGCCACCCATGATATAAGCATGTGAGAGAGATTTTCACAGTTTAAGCCTGGTTGTCAATTATAACTGACAGAAATCAACCGGAATGTGTCTGATCTCGTCAGATCTTGGAATCGTAACAGGTTTTAAGTCTGGAGAGTGTTTGGATGGGTGATCACCATCAGCGTATAACATTATCTTATAGTCTGATGCAAGGCTAGGTTGTCTGCAGAGGGCAGTGCAGCAACAAGTAATTGGTGTACTATATTATACTCCAATGTCTATGCTCCCTGTCTTCACCAACCTGCAATGACCAGCACTGAAGTATGGTCAAGTAACCCCCATGAGCTTCACGGCATAAGGAGGCCCTTATTTTGAAAGTTAGCTGACAGAAAGTGTTGCAGAGTTGGGAATTGGTTCAATAAAACAGTTTTGTCAAACTTCTGCCCTGTCGCTTGTGATGTTTTATTATTTGTTCTAATTTTTAGTTTTGTTCAAACCATTAGCCTAAATGTAACATAATTTACATGTGCAATTTGATGCATGAAACGTGAGTATACGAATATATTTAATATCCATTCATCATCATCAGATATGCTGAAATGGTAGCTGTAACATCTAATGACAATTAACTACAGGAAACGTCAGAACATTATAAAAAGGCTACACATTTTGACTCAATATAGATTAATAAATATTGGGGTAAACAATAACGTACAACAATATTAACTGAATTGTAGATATAACACATACGCTTTCATTACCAATATTATGATTCATAATTGATGTTTGGGTCAGATTGTGCGTGTAAAATTCGTGTCATATACCCTACTCCACCCAAATACAAACAATAAAGCTGTCATGTAAACAAATGTGCCAATATATTACTGCTTCAGCGCACCAATATTTTGGAGAGAAATAAAAAACATTGAATAATTTAGTATGACTTTTTATGATGGTCACAACCAACATAATTGTGATCCTGCAGGGCATCTCAGAAGATGATCCATGATTTCCTTCTCCTGACAAGCACATCCATGATTCCATGAGAGTTGCATCTGCCGAAACCCACTCTCAGTCTGTTTAGGCTTCGCCATGTGAGCAATTTGCAATTGGAGCCAGATGCGAGCTCTTTTGTCGCTTGATTTTCCCATTATTTTTGCCAGAGGGAAGTTCTGGCAGATGTGGTCAGTGGTACAGTGGGGCACAAGAAGCTGTTCCTCGATGAGAGACGACGGTGTGCTGGCTGATGGCCATGTAGCGGATGGCGGATGTCTCACTCTAGGACTTGCCGGTCGTGGTCACCTGCTACTCTCCTCCTGATGTTAGGGGCGCTATGCCAGATAGTGCATATAGGCAGGAAACAGTGATGGCTCTCAGGCAAACTGTTATGATTCTGCACATATCATTTAGGGTGGTGTCGACATGTTTACTGCGGGTGAAGCATCCCTAGGTGAAGCATGCATATTCAACCACAGATAAACAAAGTGCTAAGGCGGTGGTGCGTAGAGTGGATGGATGTGCCCCCCATATTGAGTTTGAGAACTATTCGGAGATCCATCTTCTTTGGTTCTTTTGGTAAAGTCACGTAGAATGAGAATAAAATAATAAATTTATAAAATAAAATAACACAATAATATTATTTTATTTGATCAATTTATTATTTTATTCTCATTCTACGTGACTTTACTGAAAGAACCAAAGAAGATTAATCATTGCAGTCACGAAAGCTTTAAATCGAAATTTATTCGGAGATTGTTGTTTCGTCTGTTGGCCTTGGCTTTGGCATTTAAAGCAGCAAACAAACGTGCCAATTTATTACTGAAGCAGCAAAAAATTGGCACGTTAGTTTGCAAGACAGATTTATTAATTCGCTGTATTGGGTGGAGGATGGTGTACGACACTCATTTTACTCACACAATCTGACCCACAAATCTATTAGAACTGAACTGTATCGCACATTCTGTTTATGAGTACATTATTGCTTCACTGGGTAAAGTCCACACACGCATATATATGGCTTGTTATCTACAGCAAGTTGTTGTTGTGGGCATGATAGCCGTTGTGTGCAAGTCCTTGGTCCTCTGCAGGCTTGCAAGGCCAACCAAAGCTCAATCACCTAATGTAACCCAATTTACGATGCAGGTTTAAAAAAAAAATTCGAATTGCACTTTAAACAGCCAGTTCACTTTAAACAGCCAGGCCCTCATCCAGCAATTAATCACCGTAATCCCCATGTGGACTGACATGCCGTATGCCAATCCACTGCTGGATGAAGGCCTCCCCCACACGGTGTGGGTCATATAGGATATTTAATTATACATTGCCGCACTGGTGAGTTGGTGAAGGCAGGGAGCAAAGTAGTGGGAGTGTAGTACAGCGCAACAATTAATTTTTCTGCAACAGACACTGCCCCTGAAAATCGAGAAAATAATGAGTATCGAGCAGTTAGTGGTGAACTGGATGCCTGTGCGTGTGTGATTATCTCATCCCGTGTCCCTCCGCACATTGTCTACTCGTCGCTCTTCATGCCCCTCTCCCATGTTCTTTATTGTCCTTATCACGCTAATTTCGAGAGACGATGGGGGAAAATACTTGCACTGAAAAAAAAATCAGTTTGTTACGTGACCTTTGTATTACACCGTTTAAAATATATCTATGAAATGGCTCCTAGTCATTGTTGCCACTTAGTTGAGGTACCATTTGTGGTCAGGTCGCTTGTGAAAAACAGCTATACAACTGAGTGCGCCTTACCTGGCAAAATGAAAAGTTTAGTTTAGCTTAAACAATGGCCCTTGCGTGGCATGATGTTGCCGTGTTTGCAATCGTTAGCAGAAGTGGCTTTGCAAACCAGAGGGCGGCCCTGCTCGATTTTAATTGAAATGGCTGGGCACGGCAGTTGAAACAATAGCCACGTTTATTAACCCCCCCTCACCGTAAGGTTACGGTGACCCACAAGGGTTACGGTGACCCACAAGGGTTACGGTGACCCACAGGGGTTATGGTGACCCACAGGGGTTACTGTGACCCACAGGGGTTACTGTGACCCACAGGGGTTAAGGTGACCCACAGGGGTTACGGTGACCCACAAGGGTTACGGTGACCCACAGGGGTTACTGTGACCCACAGGGGTTAGGGTGACCCACAGGGGTTACGGTGACCCACAAGGGTTACGGTGACCCACAGGGGTTACAGTGACCCACAATGGTTACGGTGACTCACAGAGGTTATGGTGACCCACAGGGGTTACGGTGACCCACAGGGGTTACGGTGACCCACAAGGATTACGGTGACCCACAGGGGTTACAGTGACCCACAATGGTTATGGTGACCCACAGGGGTTACGGTGACCCACAGGGGTTACTGTGACCCACAGGGGTTAGGGTGACCCACAGGGGTTACGGTGACCCACAGGGGTTACGGTGACCCACAGGGATTACGGCGACCTCGATACGCTCACTGGAAGGGAGTTTCGCAACATTTGTGCGATCCACCAATCCTCGCCCTCCGCAGTGCTGGATTGCGGGCGTGCGTAGCCACGGCTCCCCCTGGCGTCGCTGGGTGAACAGAGGCATCCATAATCCATACTCTTTGGTTCTGTCGGTAAAGCCGCGTAGGTATAATATAAAATAAATCACGACGTTTCGGGCGCAACACAAGCGTCCATCATCAGGTGGGAAAAGCACGGTCTGCTGCTGACGCAGTCTGTTTTAAATGATGGACGCTTGTGTTGCGCCCGAAACGTCGTGATTTATTTTATATTATACCTTACGCGACTTTACCGAAAGAACCAAAGAGTATGGATCGCTGCAGTCACGAAAGCTCCAAATAAAGATCCATAATACAGCTTGTTTGTATTCTTAACAGAGGCAGTGCGGAGAGGGTGGATAAAAACAAACGCGTCCGTTGTTTCAACTGTGAATGTCGGGTCTCTCTTTCTGCCCCTCTCCGCGACTCTCTCTCTCTCACTGCCCGAGTTGGTCCCCATCTCTGTAACTCTCGCGCTCTCTTGGCGTTTATTTTCATTTGTGTTGCTGGTGACTTTGTGTATTTCATATCGAAATCGCCTCCAGTGCTGTTGCTGCTGACGGCAATAAAAGTTGTTTAAAAGTCAAAGGTCTCAGGTGACGGTATATGCGTGCCTGTGTCTATGCCTCGCCATGTCTCTCTGTGCGTGCATGCACGTTTCTCGTTTGGCCTCTCTGGCTGTCTGTATTTACTGCATCTTAACCCACGTATCCTTTGTTCTCGACACGTAGAAACTCCTTTCGAAAACTGTACGTGGCCAAACCGTGTTGTCTCTCTATCCCACGCTGATGTATATCTCTTGTCACTGCGCAGTATTTGCGGCTCGTTTAATCTCCCTGTCTCCACGCTGCGCTTGTTTCACGGGCTCCTGACGACTGCAAGTTTCTCTCTCTGTCTCTCTCTCTCTCTCTGCCCGTGTATTCGATTAAAAATTGTCCCCGCCTCTGTGACCTCTCTTCTCGGTAGCCCTGCGTGAACCCATCTCCCTGCCTCCGCAAGGCTCCAATGTCCACGCGCGCAACACACCGCCAACGTCGTTGACCCCCAACCCGCCCGCCCGCTCACCCACCATGTAAACTTTATTTATAATTACAAGGCAGGTCCCATCGTAGCGGCGTCACTCCACCACGACCGCGCACAATCAACGCGTAACCGATACGTGGACTGTGACATCTTTCTGGATGAATGCAAAGGCGCGCGCGCTTAATCCCGCGACCAATTGACTATGTTACGGACAAGAGGGGGCTGGCTGTACCACGCTTGTGTCGTCGTTTGCACTGTTACAAGCCAGCAGCTGGCTGGGCTCAACGTGTCAGCGTTTTAGCACCGTTAACATTTGCAACAGCGGAACTTACTTTTTAAATGTTCTTTTAGAAACGCATACAAGTAGCGCTTACCTGTTGCAGCGCTCACGTTATCGCTTGCCGGGAGAGAGCGAGAGGCTTTCCAGTTCTCCGTCTCGCCCTCGCGAGCCCCGCACGATGGCAAAGCACGAAACGGGCCCCCGCCGCCTTAGGGGCCGTCCATAAATGACGTCACGCGATTTTGAACGATTTTTTGACCCCCCCCCCCCCTTCGTCACACAGCGCCACACAAAGTCAGACCCCCCCCCTCAAATATGACGTCACAAAGCTCTGACCCAACCCCCCCCCCCAAAAAAAAAATTAAACATGCTTCAAATCGCTTTAAACTATTGTCATTGTAGCGCGTATTTAATGTGGCGCTGCACTCTGATGTTGTAGGAGAACACATTTATGAAAAAGTCTATTTCATTAAGTAGAACGTGTTGTCTATATTTATTTAGAGTTGCGCATTTTGATGTGACGTCACATTTCTCATCCCCCCTCCCCCCATCGTCACACATCGTCAGAAATGTCTGACCCCCCCCCCTCCCAGGTGCGTGACGTCATCTATGGACAGGCCCCTTAGCTGACGCGAGTCCAGAAGGATGTGCGAGCAGTAGCAGCAGGAGGAGAGACGATGAGATCAAAGGGCGTGCAACGATGGCGCGAGTGAAAAGGTCCATGGACTGCATTGAAGACGGGACGAGTGCAGCACCCAGCACCCACTCCCAAGACTCCCCCCCCCCCACCACCACCACAAAGTAATAATAAAAACAATTGGTAAAAAAGACACGTTTTTCAATGCACACACTTTTTTTATTCGCAGTCTAAAGTTGAAAATCAATAGTTTTCACCCCAGAAATTAATACAATTTGACGTGCTGAATACAAGTGGGTGGATTGCATCTAGCATTAATAAAGAATATATATCCACGGTGTTGGTGAGCATAAAAAGACACAAAGACGTAATGGTGCACTACTTTGCTGACAAGCCTATTGATCCTATCAGCAAAACAACTACTTGTAGACTGAATACTATAGATGTCGATAACATTTGTCAGTCCGTAAGAGAAAATTTAATGAAATTACAATGACGACATACGGGTGTCCCGAGTGAAATCGCAATGCCGTGGGCATGGTCGCAGTTGCTCGGGGTAACGTCATTACAGGTGAGCCCGACTCAACGACGGCTCAGCTTGTGACCTCCCGCTTTTCCGACCGACCTTATAGTAAGACCTCCACAGTAACGACCAAAACTTGTACTCACGATCGCCTAATGACTGCTACCAACGCCGAATCGAATTGATGTTTTAAGTGAAGGTGAGACGTTCATTACATTTCAAAGGTGGAATTATTAGTGAATTTTCCCAGTGGTTTTCATCATACAGAGCAGACGTTAGGTTTACTATTACATGGAGAAAAAGTAGTCGGAACTGCACATCTTGTAGTGCGTATAATCCCAAGTGGGCAAATGTTACCAAAGCGTTGTATCTCATGGATCATGGCGTCCACATAAGGCAAGCTGCGTCTGTCCCCCATACGTGGCAGTTGCTCCGATCCCACAACTCTCTCAATCTCATAACATCGGGTTTGAATGTCAGGGTGCATCACCATGAAAAGGAGCCCCCAGCATGAAGTGGTGGACGTGGTCCCAATTCCATCAGTGAAAAGCTCTGACACTATTAGGGTGAGTCTTCTCTAAAAATCTGCTATTAGGATTGTCCTCCGTAGCTATCTGAGCCAGATAGGAGTCAATCAGGCCTCTAGAGTTGTATTGCTCTCTTGTGGCACGGTGCTCAGATACTATATCTTCGATCAAGTGTTTTGCCCAGACATGGGTAAAGTACGGCCCCTGAGCCGTATACGGCCCGTTGGGCTTTTTAATCCGGCCTGCCGAACTTGTCCAAATATTATTATTAAATTAAATTTTACCTTTCTCCTGTAATGCCTCCACTTCCCCATTAGATGGCGCACTTTGACCATCCATCTGTTCCTGGCCCGGCCCCTCTGTCAAATTTTTGAACCCATTGTGGCCCGCGAGTCAAAACATTTGCCCACCCCTGGTTTAGCCTTTGCTTGAATATGGATTACTTGGTGCCATGGCTTAAGCAAACCTTAGCAGAAATGGGAACACATCGCACAATGTTGCCAGTGGTCCGGTTTGTAAGTGCATGACCTGCATGCACCAGGAGGTGTATGAGAGGTCTGAAACACTCATCGCTATCATCACAACGGATCCTATTCAGGAGCGAGCAAATAACGTCGCCCACTGCATTGTTTCAATTAAATTGAGAGTCAAACGCTGAGGTTTCCGGTCTGAAAGTCTCTATTTGGTACCTTGCTTCCGTCAAGATTTTGTCAGCTATTGTTGCCTTCCCGAAGCCAAAATGACACAATGTTGACAAAGCAAATCTGCGCTGCTGCTTCCATGAGTCTCCGTAGGGTGCTAATGAAATACCAACTTTGTGAGTGACTTTAGTAAAAAGAGGAGTTATTGGTAGGTCAGAAAACTGATGACTTCTATTCACCAGCACTTCTTTGACTGCCTGGTAGCCGCTCACCAATACAACAGGCGTACTCCCCAACATTATAGTACACACTTATTTTTTTGGCCAATTCTTGCATGGAAATCTGCGGTTTCTTGCAACTAAAGGCAGTGATGTTCCCCAGCAGTGGTAATGGCTTAGGACCAGGAGGGAAGCCCACTGGGCAGATTGTTGCCACCACCACTTGCAGGACAACCTGTACGGTTAAAACACCATACAGATCACGGCCAGGCTGATTAGCACTTAACTCGTTATCAAGGATCTCCATTCTGGCGAAGTTGCGATGGCATCAGCCAGCTGCCCTATCTTGTCCTGTGTGGTAGGGCAGGCAGCAGAGTGAACGTACAGCTCAAGTAGTAAGGTGCACCAAAAATTATCTGCATACACAGACACATGCATAGTCTTTTTAATGAGGACACTACACTAAGAATGAATTACCTTTATATGCTAACGGTTTACCAACCTTATTCTACCTGCATAGTTCAGACACTTAGCAGTTGGGGAATCCATTTAGATAGATATCATAACTTTAATAGAGCTGACATTTTCTTTGGTTCTTTCGGTAAAGTCACGTAGAATGAGAATAAAATAATAAATTGATAAAATACACAGCTTAAAAGTCGCGATCTGAGCGTGGCTGTATTCGCTCCAGCGCTTTCCTCCAGACAGTCTCGTCACTTCACCTGATGAAGGCCGCTTGTGTTGTGGCCGAAACGTCGTGAGAATTTTATTGTTAGTTTATTTTATCAATTTATTATTTTATTCTCATTCTACGTGACTTTACCGAAAGAACCAAAGAAGATGAATCCTTGCAGTCACGAAAACTTTAAATCAAAATTTAGAGCTGACATTGTTAAATAAAGTATGGCTTGGAAGCATACTATTAAAAAATTAGTTGACAAAAAAAAACTATAATCTTTATAACAGTATTAAGCTTTAGACAATTTATCCGGTGTGAGCTCGCCTGTGATTAATCACACATATAATTGTGCACCGTTGGTTGCTACATAGAGCCAGGTGTGTTTATTACTATTATTTAAGAGAAGGCAATGGTGATCAGGGATTGAACCCAGAGACCCCACGTGCACAGTCGAGTGCAGGGCATGCTCCCAATTTAGATTTGGGCCGACTCCTTGCTGGTGAGCTGCATGTTACATTAGCTCCTTTAATATTTAACTTAAATTGATATTACTTGAATGTCAATCAACTCTTTGGTTTTATTCGGTAAAGTCACGTAGGTAAAATAAAATAAAACAAAATAAAAGAAAACAATTAAATCACGACGTTTCGGAAGGCAACACAAGTCTCCTTCTTCAGGTGGAACAGACAGCGGAACATCAGTGTCAAGTGGACAGCTCAGAGACCGGGTCTATATACAGGTCAAGGGAGGGGGGAGGAGTCAGACCGGGATGTAGGTGGGGGGGGGGCTGAGCCAAGCCACCCCTTGTCACGACGCAGGGGGCTCGGAGGAGCGAAGGCGCCTCATGTGCGAAAACGGGTAAAACCCCTTTATTATGCTGCCGGGGGATGGAGGAAAGGGATGGCGCGCTGCAAGGGTGCAAGTACAGCTTCATTTTTTAGAAAGTATTAGAAATGGCTGTATAATTATAAGGTAGCAAAAGTTTGACATACAACCACTGAGAGATGGAAATGGCTGTACAATTAAAAGGCAGCTAACATTTGACTTGATTTATAACATCTTTCCAGTGGTTGCTCAATTTGAAACCATCCTCTCGGTTGAAGTTATGTCTGTGTTTGTAAATCTGGATGGCATCGTGGACAAATCTCTGATAATAACCGGTAGGTTTGCAGAGTACCTTGGTATTGGAGAAAACAATATCATGATCACCCACAGCGTTGTAACAGTGATCAGCCACGGCAGAATAATTCGTTCTGCCGTGTTTCAAATCTGATTTGTGCTCACGAATTCTGTCAGAGATATGTCGCTTCGTCTCCCCGATATAGCAGTCACCACAGGTACAACTCAATTTGTAAACACCGGGGTACTGTAAGTCAGGGATAACATTCTTTACGGATGGGATCAGATCACGGATTTTGTGTACTGTGTTGAACCGGACCTGCATCTTGTGTTTGTTTAGAATTTTGGAAATCTTGCTAGTAACGCCTGCTATGTATGGTAACGTGATGATTTTGATCAGAGTGTCAAGTGGTTGTTTCTGTATGGTGAGAGAAACAGCTTGGCGGATGGTACGGTCAGAGTAACCGTTCATCTTGAGGCCCAGATGTACATGTTTTAATTCACTGTCAATCAACTGGCCGGAACTCAGTAATGTTAATTGTCTGTTGACTGAGCTTTGGTGGTAATGAAGATATGCACAATTAAGACTGATATTAAAGTTGTTTTCACTATTTAAAATACTTATAATAATTGGGTCTAGAATGTTAACACTGGTACGTGATCCCATTAACAGATAAATTCAGGTGCGGTGTTGTGACGTGCAGGGTGTTTCTGATCGCTATTGCAGGTATGAGATGTTCACTTTTTTTAGTTGTATTATGTTTGCTGTTTTTGCGCGGAAAATCAGCCACGTGGTGAGTTATTTAATTAGTTCAACGAATGTTCAATGCATTGAGCACTACCTTAGAAAATGAAGAGGACATGGATATATAAAAACTAGTGAGATACAATCAAAACCCAATACCTTGAAACAGCAAAAAGACACTAGGTTTCAAACAGAACTGGAACAAAGACTAGACGAAAGGAAACAACTGAAAGCTAAACTACTGAATACCAAATCACAGATGCTCCAGAAACAGGTCCAGTTGGTCTACAAGAGCAAAGACAAGGAGGCAAAGAGGAGCACCAGGAGAGACAAAAGGGCTTTGCTGAGAATATGGCAAACAAAGCTGAGAGCGCGCAGCCGTGGGCGATATGGGTACCGTGTAGAAGGTCACGAAACGTCTATGCGGCAAAAACACCAACCAATTAGCCCCTGCCAAAGACCAAATTGTAAATAACATCACTGCTGAGCATGAACAAGCAGCAAGATGGGTCCAACACTTACAAGAGCCACTCAACCACCCTGACCCAGAACAACCGTGGAAACCTACAACAACAATGTTCTCAACATCAACCCACCTAACATGGCTGAGGTCAGAACCGCCATTAAAGCACTGAAGAATGGCAAGGCATCTGTCATAGACTCCATCGATGATGAGATGTTGAAGGAAAACATCACTAGTGCTACTAAAATTCTGACTGACCTCTTCCAAAACATCTGGGTCAAATACACATTCCCTGAGGACTGGCCCAAGGGCCTTATTGTCAAAATCCCCAAGATAGGAAACCTCTTAAATTGTGACAACTGGAAAGGGATTACCCTACTCTCTATCCCAAGCAAGGTCTTCTGCATAATCCTCCTCAAAAGGATGGAGTCAGCTATCGACACCAAGCTTAAGCAAGAGCAAACAGGATTCAGAACAGGAAGAGCTTTGCCTTGTGTAAGACAATTGAACAGTGTCTGGAATGGAACAGCCCCCTGTTTATTAACTTTGTAGATTTAAAGAAGGCTTTTGGTAGTGTACATTGCAACACTCTATGGAAGATCATGGGATACTATGGAATACCACAAAATAATTATACCACCACTTCAAATGCAGTGTCATTATGGGAAAAAAAAACACTTTCTGAGTGGTTTCCTGTGCATTCTGGAGTGAGACAGGGGTAGATCATTTCGCCCATTCTCTTTCTTATCACCATCGACTGGAACATGACTAATACTACGTCAGAAATACCCAGAGGCATCCAGTGAACCTTGTTCTCCCAGCTGGAAGATCTTGACTTTGCCGACAACCTCACTGTCCTCTCAACCAATCACTCCCACTTGCAGGAAAAAACCCCTTAAATATTGGTTAACTTTGCCAAACAGACAGGCCTCAACATCAACACCTCCATAACCCAAATTATGTATATTAATACCACCACCCTGCACTTATTGTTGGAAAAGGTGACTCACTTGAGTTTGTGAATGATTTCACATGTCTGGGCAGTATTATTCGAAATTTCTAGAGATCTTGTCCTCATGTTTGACGTAGTTTGAAATGCAAAATCATATCTGGCAAATCCGATTGTGATGGCTGTTCAGCCTACCAGTGGACTGAAACACGAATATTAGGCGCGTTAAATGTATGTGTAGTGTCAGCGGAGCGGGATATAAGGTTCTTGAGGAGGCACCTTCTTTATTCAACACCTTCAGGTTCACAGGTTCGCCCTCGCGCTCTCCCAAGTCGTCAAGCTTAGCCTTAACACAACCCTGACCGTGTAAGACCAACGGCGCCGACCGAGACAGCCAACAACTATCCGCCAACGCAATATTTAGCGAAGACGGCAGCGACGAAGGTGGCGAAGAGACAGCGACGACGAGACGAGTCCACTTCCCAAGAACCGGCAGCCACGAGCTCCCGCTCTCCGCTGCTTTCATGCTAACCGGCGCGGCCTGGCTCCGCCCTGGCCGCGTCTGTCTTCTCGAACCCACTAGCGGGTTCCAGGGGCTTTCAGATGGGGTCTTCTATGACCCTTGCCCCAGTTCATGCGCCCTGCCGACACACCCGCGTGTATGCTCACCGGCGTGTGTACTGCTCGTCCACCGCAGTTGCCGTTGCTGGACAACAGACGGCGCTAGTACACTACATCTGTACACATAGCTGGCCCGTCCTGTCTCCTGCCATGATCGTAACGAGAGAACAATCTGTTAAAAAGCAACTGGGGATGATTGATGTTAAGTTGCATTGTGTTCTTGTCTCCTCCCATATCACATGGCTAGTCGAGATGACTGAAAAACTTTATGAAGTGAGAACATGAGCGAGTCATGTGATGGGAACACTTTATTCAAAAGTGATCTGGATAGCATCCGTATCTCTACAAGAGACCAAGAGACACCACAGCCCACATGCACACTGATCAATCCCCCAGCTGATCCATAACATAATTTTTATCCGTAGCGAGTGATGTTTCAAATGGTAATGGGCTACTCTACCAACATGTCCTGACCAAAGTGGTGAAATATGGTCAAGCAACAACCATAACCGACACCATTTAGGTAGGCTTTCATCCAGCAGTGAAATTATGAAGGGCTATAAATGGTCTGTAAATAAATTATTACCTTTATCATGCTGGGAATTAAAATTACATTGGGAGACAGCAAAATGAATACATGACTCAGAAAACATACACCAGTTAAGGACATTCATGACTGTTAACATGTTTTAACATTATTAGGTGATATAACGTGAGCATTGGTGCAAATTAAAAAAAGTCTCCAATCTACTCTATCTTTTGATTGACAAAAATTCATTTTAAAGCAGTGCTATTTATGAACGTGT